TCCTGTCGACTATGACTAAGATATAGTATTTTTTTTAGCTAAAGACGCCGGCAAACTGCAATCTTCCAAACACCTTAAGCAGAAGGTTTAGCATGTTTGTCATGCGGTGTACTCGTGTCAGATGTAAGATGACGCTTGAGGACTGATCTGTAGCGATTCCTTGATTAAAGATTGGGAGTTAAGCGGTTGAGAATGTTGACCACTTACTTTATTTGCGAATTTGCATCAGACCTAGTGAATTGATTGCTGGCCAGGTCTCAGTAGAGATACAAGAGGATCGTGTGGCATTTGCCAACTTACTGCACAACTGTAAGATGTAGTCAACGGAATTGAAATATATAAAAAAAAACAGATGTTTTTGACCACTGGTGTTTGTAATCTGCCTCATGTGTTGTGTGGTATAATATGATGAGTAATACTGATATTAGGTTCAGTGTTAGGTAAGTTGAACAAGCGAACTGATACGGCTGTGAGGTTGCATCAATTGAGATGGCTGGGACACATACGTGCCAAGCCTTCGCCTTCCCCGTCAAGCAATGTTAGTCGACATATGATTAAGTTACAAGAGTTTGGATTGGTCAGATCAAAGCATGGCATCTACCGACGAAGTCTTTGACTGCTTTCTTCAGTCATGTAAGGAACTATAAACCCCCTGGTCCTAGAAGTGTTAAGGAGCAGATTCTGCTGAGTGTGAAATATATGGCTCGAAATCGTTCTCAGTCGGGACAGGTTCATTCATTCTCTGTTAACTCACAGGTCCATCATATTCTCCCCCCCCATACGTTCTTGTTTATTTTAGTCCTGAATTTTTTTCTCCGTCTGTCTGCTTTATTTTGTGAGGCGAATTTAACAGCTGAACGTGTGTTTAATGTTCTACGTTTAAAACTTATATCTATGGTCTACAGACTAAACGATATGAAGGTTGATTTTCTCTTCTAAAAATGTTAACCTCTCAGTGAATAATAAAACTTTGTCATGCAGTGTTATAAGTAGGTAGTCTCAGTTTCCAAGTATTGACATTGAAATAGTCCAAGAGTGTTTTGGAGTTATCGAAATACTAATTACGAACTCAGTTATCAGGAAGAGATCCGGTGCAGTAGGCTTAACCGCAATTATTGTCTAAGAGGCTATGATACTACTCAGTTGCTCAGGGAGACTCAAAACTGTGACCTGTTGTCTGAAAAATGAGTGCTTAAGCCAGTAAATCACACCTACACAAGGCGTGATCTAGTAGGCTACTAGGCAAATTGTGAGCTACGAATATTATTATTATTATTTATCTATTATTCCTTCACGTTCCCAGCGGAACATAGGGTTTCAAGCTAGAGGCTTGAAGTTTCTGTAGCAGTGTTTATTTTTACAGGATGAGATTGCTAGCTTCATGCCCAACCTTTCCTCTTTACCAGTCTAATTACTGGCTTAGTGAGGTAACGGAATGCGTCGCTAATCAAACCCCGGACCATGTGCATGGTCGGCGAGCGCCCCAACCGCTGCGCCACCGACGATATATAATAGCAATCGCTTAATCTTAACAAACCCTAACAGTGGTACACATTACTGTTTGAGATTATACAAATATCTATTCACCTATCTTTTGGATACATGGATGCACTTCATACACGCGTTACTGTTAGATAGGTGAAATGTGCAATTGTTTGTAAACTTTTCTGTTATCCAAGTTAGAAAGGAAAATATGAAATCGATATTCATAAGGGAAACAATTGAATATTTGTAAAATTGTATCAATGTTTAAGACAACTAATAATTTTCAACTGAATATTATTAGAAGAGAATGGATCATTTTGAACTCTTTCATACTGTTCAGCGCAAAATGTTTAATTCAAATTGACTTTAGTCCACAGCATAAATCGAGAGTAGCTAAGGAAATAGTTGTCCAAAAGCCTACATAATAACGGTTATTATCAGTAAGTGGTAAGGATAAAAGAGATATAGACTCTAGACATTATCCTAGTTGGCTAAAGTGACTGCTTTTTAGAAAATCACTTTCTAAATTAGACAGTTGTAGTACTAAGAGAAAAACTCCTAGTAGTCGTTCATCCAACGTACAGCTAAGCTCACCCTACCCTAGATTCATTATCGGCGTTCACAAGGTATGATTAGTGAGACCCCATTAGTATTTTTCTGTCCACCCTACTAAAAGATGCTAGTAAGTAAAACCTCATGGTGTGTACCACCAGGAGCTTTGACATCCAAGATTAATCTTTCAATATCGCGTATGTTTCGGCTAGGGTAGTAGGCATTGGAACAAACAGCTTTTATCTAAAATGCCACCGGTATTTGTTTTATAGCACAATAATTTAACCTGAGAAAGACACACAATGATACAGTATTATTTACTGATAACGTTTCAAGCACAATTTATTGCTCATAATCGTTCCAAAGTGCTCACACAATTTTCAAACTTTTTTCTGTGTATTTCTACTCTATTATTTCCTATCCTTTGATTTTATTGGTAGTAATATTTTCCGTATCTATGGTATCGGTGTTGCATCATTCCTATAGCATGTATTAGGTGTAGTTTCGACGAAAAAGCGTTCAGTGATCAAACTCCATATCCATTTGTATTACTTTTGAAAACTGCAGTTTTATCCGATCCTGTTGTATGTCAGCGCATGCATTGCAGTTGCTGAGTTTTTTTTCTTCTAAATTACTCATCTTCGTTGGATTAGTCACTGTCTACACTTATGTTGTGATAATCTGACTACCCCCGATCTACTGGATTGACCTCACATTCATTGCAAGGTATTTTGTAAATTCCATTATTTTGTCTAATTGGGTCGATAGGACTCGTTTAACCTACAGAGCTTGTTCCTGAGTGAGTTTGTCGCCTAATCCCTACTTAATTTAGAATTCTTAGTAGGGTTTCACATATCCCTACCTCATATTGGTAGTAATATCTTAATTTCCTTATTCATGTTATAGTTGTCTAGATGGACGACGACAGCTTCTCAATTAAATCAACCGGCTCAGAGAACACAACTAATTTAATATCATCATCCTAAGCTAAAAATCTCCATTATTTCAAGTAGCTTCAATGCTACTTTTCCTTTTGTTGAAATATTCTCTGAAATTCCTAATGACATAGTTATTTATCACCAGTATTTGTCCATTGAATCTACACTTAACACATGCTATAGGAATGATGCAACACCGATACCATAGATACGGAAAATATTACTACCGATAAAATCAAAGGATAGGAAATAATAGAGTAGAAATACACAAAGAAAAGTTTGAAAATTGTGTGAGCACTTTGGAACGATTATGAGCAATAAATTGTGCTTGAAACGTTATCAGTAAATAATACTGTATCATTGTGTGTCTTTATCAAGTTAAATCATTCCATTTGGGAAATATACCATAGTGCTCAGGATTTGTTTTCAAATTATTTCGAAATTTTACTTAAACTATATGTATTTATTTTTTTTCGGGCGTAACATATGCCTGTTATAAGAGGACGAAATTCAGCTTATGGAATCTACTGCCATATATGAAATTAATTCCCTTGACAAATAACTGGATTAGATGGTTGGAGGCAATCTGTCTGTGTGGATTCAACGTAGAACTTGGCGACGAAGTGCAGCAGTTCGAGTTGCCACGTTCCCAATTTGGATCCAAATTTGGAGGCAGTCGGCCACAGGGAAGCCTTCCACCTAGGTTTCGTGCCAGGCCAGTTGGCGCTCTTCAGCAAATCCTATCTGCAACCTTGAAAGAACTCATGTTCCTTCTGAGATTCGAACTCGCGTCACCCAGTGCTGCAGTCAGAGACGTTACCACTGAGCTATTCGGGCTCTTGATTGCCTTGCTGTAGGACTGTAGTGGATACTTTGATTGGACACTAGTAACTAGTGTGGTGTGTCTAGTCCTTTCTTTGGTGTAGACTGAATTCTATCAGTCAGGTTTGCATTGTGGCCAACATTCTAGGTAGCTCCCCATCACGGTGCACATTTATTTTATTCTGGATTGCTGGAATAGTCTTTTTAATAAAACGACTTTGAAAAAATCTAAACATCAATTAAGTTTTTTTTTTTTAATAAGTCGTGCGTCGGTTGCACAGCGGTTAGGACTCTCGTCGACCATCCACATGGTCCGGGGTTCAATCCCCTGCCGACGCACACCCGATATCAATGGTCGGCCTGCAAAATTTTGGCTACCGATATCACATGTTGAAAATTCCATACTTGTACAAAATTATACTGTGTGGAATCAAGTTATAATAAAAAAAATCTTCAGGTGTTCTATTTATTACTTTCTGCGGTTATCAATTTTCTTCGATAACTTAACTGTATTTGATGAAATAATTTCAGATGTGTAAATTCATTATACTTATGTATGATGTATCTTTAGATATAGCTTATTGGTTCGATGCACTCAGAATCCGTTGTTTTACATACTTTCTCATATTAGATTACACTGGTGTACATTATTATTAGCCATTCGTCAAGATACCATGAAATTGCTCCCTTTATGATTAGGATTGTGATCTATATGTGTACTTAAAAGGCTTTTTGTTTTTTCTACTTCATGATCTTCTCATTTGAGTCTAGTTATTTTTTTAAGAGAAAATTAGTCATATATTGCGAAGTGGTCGCGTTATGTCATGAATGGGCAGAAGTTAGAATTCATGAGTCATTGGGTCAGGTCGCAGTGGCCTTAAGGGTCTACGAGCTTGCCTTGTAACCAGAAGGTCATGCGTTCAAACCTCGGTGGGTGCGTACTGTTTGTAACATGTCACGTTATTCATTGATTAGTAAGTTACACCTCTGTTTGACTACTCATAATATTCATAAGTATGGCCTTATTTCGTGTCAGTATGGTCTAATAGCTATGCCCTTAGAATGTCACCCAAAATCTCCTGATGTGAAAAATCTTTGTACTCAATTTGTTGGGGGTGTTGGTTTCTTAGCTGTTCAAAAATATCATTGCTACAAATTTTTGGTCTCTCTAATTCTAGTTGGTTTTTATTTCTTTATTTTCAGGGGAGATTAAGTCACGAAAAGGTGTTGAACCAATATTGGGACGACTTATGCATGAATCTCAGTGTGATATTAAGAAGTCATTGGTGAACAATCACCTACTACCAAGTCAATCCTCTACTCTACGTGGTAAACGGCGTATCACGAACTATGATGCTCGTTTAATAGCTGAAGCTAAACTGCTTGCTCCAATGTCGAGGCGACGCGAACGTAAACCTTTGTATAATCCAGATTATCTTGAGTTTATTTCACTAAAGGATGTAGTCATACCTCCGAAGTTAACTTCACCCAAATCAAATTGTAAAAGAAAGAATGTAAATAAGCCATCCCAATTCAGTATTGATCATAAGGACGATTGTACAAGTTTAGATCTTAAGGATGCTAATAATATTTGCTGTCCAAAGTCAACACTCTCTAGTTCTACTGAAAACCATTGTACGGAGGTGGAATCTACTTCTAATGATCTAGCGCCACCATTGCTACTTAGTGAACATCCTTCTGAGCTCACTGTACCTGATACAGTCGCTGAACCAGTACTCAAATGCGATCCTGATAGTGTTGTGGCTCCAGAACCTGTCGCTGATGCCAAAACAGCTCCTGAGAAGTGCCAGCCAAGACCGCATTATTATTTCCGTAAAACAAAATGTAATTATCTCCTTCGAAGAGTTGTGCACATAGCTTCACCCCCACTATTACAAGCAGTTCCTTCTCCCACTGTACCTGATACAGTTGCTGAACCAGTACTCAAATGCGATCCTGATAGTGTTGTGGCTCCAGATCCTGTCGCTGATGCCAAAACAGCTCCTGAGAAGTGCCAGCCGAGACCGCATTATTATTTCCGTAAAACAAAATGTAACTATCGCCTCCGAAGAGTTGTGCACATAGCTTCACCCCCACTATTACAAGCAGTTCCTTCTCCCACTGTACCTGATACAGTTGCTGAACCAGTACTCAAATGCGATCGTGATAGTGTTGTGGCTCCAGAACCTGTCGCTGATGCCAAAACAGCTCCTGAGAAGTGCCAGCCGAGACCGCATTATTATTTCCGTAAAACAAAATGTAACTATCGCCTCCGAAGAGTTGTGCACATAGCTTCACCCCCACTATTACAAGCAGTTCCTTCTCCCACTGTACCTGATACAGTTGCTGAACCAGTACTCAAATGCGATCCTGATAGTGTTGTGGCTCCAGATCCTGTCGCTGATGCCAAAACAGCTCCTGAGAAGTGCCAGCCGAGACCGCATTATTATTTCCGTAAAACAAAATGTAACTATCGCCTCCGAAGAGTTGTGCACATAGCTTCACCCCCACTATTACAAGCAGTTCCTTCTCCCACTGTACCTGATACAGTTGCTGAACCAGTACTCAAATGCGATCCTGATAGTGTTGTGGCTCCAGATCCTGTCGCTGATGCCAAAACAGCTCCTGAGAAGTGCCAGCCGAGACCGCATTATTATTTCCGTAAAACAAAATGTAACTATCGCCTCCGAAGAGTTGTGCACATAGCTTCACCCCCACTATTACAAGCAGTTCCTTCTCCCACTGTACCTGATACAGTTGCTGAACCAGTACTCAAATGCGATCCTGATAGTGTTGTGGCTCCAGATCCTGTCGCTGATGCCAAAACAGCTCCTGAGAAGTGCCAGCCGAGACCGCATTATTATTTCCGTAAAACAAAATGTAACTATCGCCTCCGAAGAGTTGTGCACATAGCTTCACCCCCACTATTACAAGCAGTTCCTTCTCCCACTGTACCTGATACAGTTGCTGAACCAGTACTCAAATGCGATCCTGATAGTGTTGTGGCTCCAGAACCTGTCGCTGATGCCAAAACAGCTCCTGAGAAGTGCCAGCCGAGACCGCATTATTTTTTTCGTAAAACAAAATGTAATTATCTCCTTCGAAGAGTTGTGCATATACCCACACCTCCACTATTACAATCAGTAACTCCTTTTGACTTGTATACACGATATTCCCCAGGTAAAAGTAAAAACGATTACTTATCAAATACAGCTCGTAAGGCATCGATAATTTCTTGTGCCCATAATCCCAGACGGTCGCGAAACTCAGATGTCAATGGTGTAATCTCGCATGCTACTGTTTCAAATGCAGGTACACATCGTCTTACCGTCACACTCAAAAGGATTGGACCTAAACTTTATCAGATATCTCAACCGAAAAGAATATTTATTACTTAAATGACATAATATATCTTTTTCTTTTCATATGTATTTATAGGGATATTCATATTAATTTTATTGATGACCAGCATTTTAGATTTATTACTTCTTCGCTTTAGCTTACTCTACCTCAGATTTGCTTAATGCGCTAATATAATATATGATGTATATATAAATATATGTATTTACTTCAGCATGTAAATAATACGTTATTATTGTCATTTTTTTAATTTTGTCCGTTACAAATACTTCAGAGAATTCCTCTTTTCAACATATAGCGCAACTGCCAGCCAATGTAATCGCAAATTGGCGGAAGTTAAAATTCGTGGAGCACTAGGCTCCTTTCCTGTGGCTGAATAGTTCACAGGCTGGCCTAGTAATCTGATGATCCTGTATTCGATCTCTGGTGGAGTCGCAGGTCCATACTGATGAAGAGTCCCGAACTAGGATGAAACAGCTGTCCAGTACTCCCGCTCTTCCCAAACTGAAATCCAATCAAATTTATCGAAACCAGAGCTTGAAAATTTATGCTTACTTTTTATTGAGAAGGTTATTCGTAAAAGTGCAACTTAACGAAGACGTTTAGATTTGTGCATCTGGTTGCATTTACGGAATGTGCCTTATTCATACCACCTGTTACTTGACACTGATAGATGAAGCAATAATATAGATCTGTGTTTTCGTTACCTGCATACTTATCGAAGAAAATAATAGACTATACATTCACAAAGTTGTATTACAGGGGGAAAGTACAGTTAATCATACAAAAGTTTACTATTAAATGTGAAAAAAGGGTCCTTGAGCATTTGGGATAACTAGGCAGATAACCGTCAAGTGGCGATGAATCTCAGTGACAATATAAAATTAGTCAGCGCATCAGTGTGCTGTCGTACTCCACAGTTCTTATAAAACACTCATGAAAAACTAAATTACGGTGAGTGCCTTGATTCCTTCTAAGGCGTAACTTCATGAACTGCGTGTTCATAATCAGTCATTTTTTAAGAACACCTTCAGACTTGTTGAAAGGCTCTAACCCCTTATTTTGAGTCGTTGAACGCGACCGTGACCTGTAAGAAAGACTTAGAAAATCGAAATAAGTGATTCAGGGAAGAGACCCTTCTCAACGAATTTATTATCATGCTGTACAATCGTATATACATGGTTTTTCAGAAATTATATCCGGTGAGGGAAATTGAATCATATAGGTGTGAATACATAAAATAATAATAATAGTAGTATCAACTGCAATTAAAATATTTGTGACTATAATTATATTTAAATATCAATTATCAAAACAATTATTGTCATTTATGAAATAATTCATAGGATGTATGGAACTTGTATGGGATGTGCAATTATAGGATTATTAGGTGAATTGAAAAAAAAATATATGCAAACATTACGTAGCACTGTGAAATTCGAAAACAGAATTTAACGTTGGATGTAGAATCCCTATTTATGAACGTTCCACGGACAGAACCATATGATTTATACGCAGATATATTGAAGGCAACAAGTTGAATATACGGATACTCACTACAGATTTGAGCGAACTACTTTTGATATGTACACTGAATGTACAATATACTTTCAATGAAACAATCTACAGACAGAAGGATGGGGTATTGTAATAGATTCTCCCTTAGGTCCTCTCTTTCGAGACTGTTTTATGGCCAGTCTAGAAAATGGTCAATTGAAGTCAATAATCCAAAGTTTTAAAGTGTGTATAAAAGGCATACTTTGATTGGACACTAGTCAGTGACTAGTGTAGTGTGTCTAGTCTTTTGTTTGTTGCCGACTGAATTCTAACAGTTAAGTTTGCTATGTGGCCACTATTCTAGGTAGCCCACCATCACGATGCACTTTGAATTGTTGGTATTAGATGGTTAAAGGCAATACGCTGGAAGCTTTGGGCCTGATTTTTGTGCTTGTTGGTACTCACCAGTCAGCAAGGCATATCTGCACCCTCGAAGAAACTCATGAGATTCGAACCCACGTCACCCATAGAATTCAGGAAAAAAATCGAAATGTATTAGTTGATTCACTTGTGCTTGAAGAAACGTTGCAACTACATGCGGAACGGATGAAGATGCCAAAACCAGAATGGAAAAAGCAAGCTTCACCTTCACCACTCTGAAGTCAGTTTTGGAATCTCCTCCACTCAGTACGAACAACAAGATTCGAATTTTCAGCACAAATGTGAAGTCAGTCAGTTCTGGTGTATGGGTTAGAACCTCGACGAGTCACGAACAGGCTACCGCAGACTTTTATCAGCAGAGGCCTTCGCTTCATATGGTAGACCAAATGTCCAGAAAGAATCAGCAACGAGAAACTATAGGAAAGAACCGACTGCTCAACAAACATGTCGGAGAAAATAGAGATAGATTGAGCGTACACCTCGGAGACCTTTAGATGACCTCGCCCTCAAGTGGAATGCGAATGGAAAACGACGAGTTGGGAGTTCGAAGGTGACACTGATTAGATCGTAAGAGGAGGAGGCGAGTGATTATGGGTAATCGCGGGCCCAGCTAACGAGGGCTACAAAGAATAAGACAAAGTGGAGACGTGTTATCGAAACCATATATTCCACTAGGAACCCAAAAGAACAATAATAATAACGATACATTTTTGGAGCTTTAAATCAAAATATTTATCATTCCCTTAGGTCCCGATTGGAACACATCAGGCGCCAACGGCACATCTCCATTCCATCTTGTTTTCTTTACTCTTATTAAGCTGGCTCGACGACCGCATATAAGCTCTCATTGCCTCTTCCATATCACCCTAGGACACCGAACTTGTCATTTCCCATTTGAGTTCCACTTGACGGCCTGGCGTGCGACATCAACCAGAGGTCTCTTCAGTGTGTCCGATCCATCTCCATTTCCTTGGGAATATTTATTGAGCGATAGGTCCTTAATTAGTTTCTCGTTACTAATTCTTTCTGACCATCTGATCTTCATTATCGAAAACAGACAGCTGTTGATGAAAGTCTTCAATAGCCTCTTCGTGACACGTCAAGTTACTGACCCATATGGAGAAATAGACTTGAAAATCCTAATCGTATTCTTGACGCCGAGTGCAGCACATTTCCAGAATGATGAAGAAATGTCTTGCCTTTAATGTTCTGACTTCGACATTCTCATCCGTACCCCATATAGTTGAAACGATACTGCCTGGGTAAGTGAAGGAGGGGAAGTTTAAATCTCCTCCGTCGACAGTGACTGGTGCTTGTTGTTGGTTGGGTAACTTCATCACCTCCGTCTTCTCTGTGTTCACTTGAAGTCCTATTTTCGCTGCTTCTTCCATCAACTTGTTGGTTTCTGCCTGTAGGTCTTCGAATTTGTGTGACAATGAACATGAATCACCCGTGTAGTCTATATTTTCTACAGTCTCCAATTGTTCTGAAGGCTTCCAGCTTCATCTTGAAGGTTCTTTGAAATAGATAGTGGTCTGAGCCCCCACCTGTATGTCCAGCAGGCTGAGTCTGCACTGTCTTGAGCGGTAGTGAGAAGAAATCTATCTGGTTTTGGTGTGTCCGTCAGGCAAAATCCTTGTGTTTGTACATGCTGCCCCCATCACCAAATCAATGAAGACTGAGAAGAGTTCTCCACTGTCATTCACTTCATTGGGTGAGAGCCTCTTGATCCATGATGAGTTCTCTTCTTGCATTGTCTGCCTCCAGTTTTGCATTAATGACCTATAAATTTGTTCTAAGATTATTCAGTTGACATTTAACTTATAACCAAACTATTTCAATACGACCCAGTTGTTAACCTATCCAGACACATGTTATATTCATAATTTTGTAAAATCCTCGCTGAAATGTACAGTCTACATTTCCATGTGCTGCAAGGTTTAGTAGGTTCTCACTTGGAATTATAAACATAAGAAGTAATAAATAGTGAATACAATATCGCAAGTAACATTAACCACTGAAATACCTGGAGTACTAGGTAACAATAATCCTCCTTGGAAAGTCAGACTCTATTATTTTAGATAAAGAATCACCTGAATGAAAACTGATATAATACAGAATATCCAATCACAAACAAGTAAGATAATCATTAAAAATAATAGAGAAGATTTGTAGCTTAAGCGGATGGATGATTTGCAATTCATAGTGTTCTCTGAGCTGATTGGTTTTGTGGAGGAACTTTCGTCGTCCTTCTGGACAACACATCCCCCTTCAGCGCAATATTTAGCATAAAAGTGAAAGGATTTAAATTTCTTCATGAGTGATAGAACTGCGTCTCCTGGTAACCATCTTTACATCTGTATGGATCATTTTCTATTGACTTGGATTTTAAACGTTCTGGTCACATGATTTACTTTTTATTGGTTGGTATATTTGGTCTATATTAACGTGCTATATCTATATCGAACCGTTTGATATAGATATAGCCCACAAGCCAGTCAAATCGCTTAATTCGATATTATGCAAACCGAAAGACCCAACAGGAAAAAGGGATAAAATCAACACCATTCACAAAATAAATTCCGTGTATGAACTGTAACAGGCATGACATCGGTGGTCGAAGTGGATGTCCCCTTCGAATCAGAATCAAGGAATACAAATCAACCGTGAAAAGACACGATATATATTCTTTCATATCAATGCATATATACAATTATGGACATCAATTTGATTGGGATAATGTCGAAATCTTAGACAGAGGAAACACCAAAAGTGCAGTCAGGGAATTCCTAGAGCCTGGTACTCCAACGAATATGCAATTAACAAACGCGTTAATATAGACCAAATACATCAACTAATAAAAAGTAAATCATGTGACCAGAACGTTTAAAATCCAAGTCAATAGAAAATGATCCATACAGATGTAAAGATGGTTACCAGGAGACGCAGTTCTATCACTCATGAAGAAATTTAAATCCTTTCACTTTTATGCTAAATATTGCGCTGAAGGGGGATGTTGTCCAGAAGGACGACGAAAGCTCAACTAAATCAACCAGCTCAGAGAACACTATTAGTTGCAAGATAATCATTAAGTATCCAGATTTATTTTAATGAAGTGCATTACTAGTAACTGGCTTGCAGTATCGTTCAGTCTTATATTCAAGATATGGGTGTTTGAAACAACACTAAAATGTTTATTAGTCTTTCATTTGAAAATACTTTTATCCTATATAAGACGAGCTATACTCATATTATCAAGCCAAGCTATGCATACAAACACCTTATAAATATTATTGGCAGGATGCCAATTAGAAGATTGCTTTTGCGGAAATACAAGAATCGTACAAATCGCTATCTGTCACGTTTCAAGAGTTAATTACATTGAAGATACGGTATCAGGTCAATCAGAAATATTAAAAAAAACCAGGTAACACAATGCACTTATTCAATGAACCTTTCACTGAAATAAGTTCAGAGATCCTGGAAGTAATCAGCTATTCACTTTCATAGCTGATGCAACTAACTGAAGTAACCAGCATATCTGAAAACTTTGCTTTCTACTCTTGAACTGATTATCAGTTCAAACCAGTTACCAAGCATCCATCGATACAAAATTGAAAAACCACACTTGAAATTTCGTCCACGGTGGTTAAAATGCCTGACATATTGCCAGTGTTTTTGTGTGATGAAACAGGAGCATCTTTTACTCTGAATGAATCAGATTTTAGTAGGTGTGAATTTAATTTACTGAAAGAGACAATTGTATCAGCCGACTTTTATGAATCTTGATTAAGAATAATGAAGATAAACATTTCTGCGGATAGCGATGACTATCGTCCTAAACGGCAAATCAATTTGCATACTAGTCAAATAAAAGACCGTAATCGCAATGATATGTTTACCTGTTATATCCTCCACAGGAGAACAGCAATTCAACCACGGAATCAAAGCATCACTTCCACAAGTCTGAGGATATAAAATGTACCAACTTTTTGTAAGGTTATTTTTCAGAATCAGATCGACAAACCACGAGTAACATTCAAAATGTTCATGTTTCAGTTATACGAATGAATGTGGAATTCGCAAAATACTTAGAGTATTATTAGTCAAGCACACTGCAGTCATTATAGAAGGATCTACCATCTTTCTTATAGACTGAAATGATCAATAATTTCTACCAATATCAGATCCGTCTACATCTGATTTCTATATGCTATCTAGTGAGTTGGTCCTATTCAATCATATTCCTTGATCACATGTTACCTATGAGTACCTGTTATGTACTCGTCGCTAAATTATTGTTATGGTCTGGTCGAGAAGCTAATAGTCCTGACGCAAGAAAGCGGAAATCAGAAGACCACTAGGTTTTCGATGATACTTCTATTTTCCAAACACCAGGAGAAGCAATAAGTGGTATTACACCAAAGTAAGTAAGTAAGTGTAAGTCACAAGATTGTGAGAACGAAATATATATATGACAAGGGTGTGAACAATCATTAGACAGTCTTAACATGAATGGCTAATTATAATGAAGTATCGATCCATATATACATAGCAAAATATAGCAGACATGTCAACAAACACCATATATGGATATATATACACCAAGCATCAGACTGTCAACAAACACACACATATTATATATAATATAAGGGGAATATACATTGTTAAAGGAGACAGGTTCATACAAGTGAAATGGTCACAGACTAAGCGAGCAAACAGAAAGGGAGACCAACATACACACACACACACATAAATATATATATGTGGATACATATCAGTACCTCACAAAGTTAACTTCTCAAAACTTTGGCCCTAAATCATATTTAAAACTGCTGATAACTACATTTCACCGTGATTAAGATTAGATGGTGGGTGAATGTAGCATAACTGGAAGACAGATGAACTCTGCTCTCTAACCTTTCAGTTCACTCTTTCAAAGCCTTATTAAAACCAAGCCTTTTTTAACACCATATTTCCACTAACTACAAATATTTTGGACTATTCTCTTTTTCTTCTAAAGATGATACAAGAATCTCATGTTTGCTAAAAAAATAATTAAGAACACCATTGTTTTAAAAAATGCCTTTGAAATTTTGGACTGCCCTAATTGAATTGATTAATACAAAGTATTGAAATCAACCAAGAGAAAATTGACAAGAAAAGTAACAGAAAAAGAAAATTCCTGTTCACCAGTAAAATTAAACCCATCTAAACAATATCCTAGTTATAAGGGAAAACACAGTTTTTGTTCAGTTAAGATGTATTTCTTTTCAACGACTTCCTTTTCAAGCTGTACATTACAGAAAGTGGGCATGAAGTGTCACTAGAAATCGCCCAACAAATATGCAGGAGAAAGTGGAGATGGATTGGACACTCACTGAGGAGGCCGCCACTGGGTGACATCGCGCGCCATGCCCTCGAGTGGAACCCGAAACGGAAGCGGTGAGTGGGACGTCAGTGTGAGGGTGACATGGAGGAGATCGTGTGAAGAGGAGTTGAAACAGTATGGACTAACATGGATGCAGGTGAAAAGTACAGCAGAAGACAGAAGCAAGTAGAGACGTGCAGTTGAAGCTCTATGTTCCACTAGGAACCCAAGGGAACAATAAGAAGAAGAAATCCCCCAGCCAATATACATACATCCTAGTTGCTTTGTATTCGCATACTAAAAAGATAATCTAAGATTCCTTAACTATAACATACAGAACAGCTTGCCAGACGAAACGTCGGGACTAATTATTTCAATTTCGCTGACAGTTTACAAATATAATTATTACATGTCAGTGTAATGGTTTGTATCGTAGAATATAAGTCACACTGGTTGTGCAATTAATTATGACATCAACGCCAAAAGAACAAAGGAAAACCTAAGAACCACTAGTTAAAAGTTAAGTATTCCACTCAAACCTAATTATCGACAAGTCAGCGGCATTTCACAAATCGGGTCTAAATACAAATATTCACAAATATTTTCATGTCGTTATTAAAACGAAATTAGCAGATATTTGATATGATTGAGGCATAACCAGTGAGTGATACAGGCATGCGCTAAACAAATTTAAGTGGCAACCACTAAATAATGACTTTTGCTTCCTAAAATGTAGTGTTGTGACATGTACTACTGATAATCCCGACCGAAAGCTGCTACCTTGACGTGGTGGTCGGGCTTGAACACCGCAATGACCGAATCAAGCTATACTGGCTGAGACTTATGTCTCTTGAGGTCCTACCATGCCAGGCAGGTTGTTTGGATAGCGGTTAAACAAAAAGCAGATAACCAATCCAGCATCATGATCAATACAAAATCACAAAATTTCACGCCGGATCGGCCGTGGCCCGGATTAACAACGACCGCGCTTCCTGCTGCCGTGTCACAGGGCAGGAGTGATAAGTATGCTACTGAGACACACCAAACAAAAAAGAACGAACAAAAACAGGCCGCGTGTGACCGGCCTCAAGCAGTTGTCCCCTGGGCTCTGCGGTCACGCAACCAACTTCCACGGTGTGGGCAGCCGGGAAGTAACAATCGCCCTGACAATCCGAAACGCACGCGAAACCTCTCTATTACTTACTACTGATAATATTTATCAGTAGTATAAATAGATACGTTAGTCGGCATAACAAACATCGAATAGCGGAGAGATAGATTTGACGTTAAAAAACACGGGAGACACGAAAAGAAGTCAAAGGAGCACATTACGACGGGCAGACGATATTCAGCATAAGATGTACGCAATTTTGTTATATATGGAGATACCAAATTCTAAATGAACATTCCTTCACAAAGTCTTTTGTCTTCTACCGTTATAGAATCACTTAAAAAAAGAACACTTGACTTGTAACTACATTAAAAGATATCACTAATAATATTATTACCTATAAAAGATTATAATGTCAACACAAAGGCATTGAAACAGTTGACTGAAACAACATTCATCGATTATACGAAGGATTAAACAAGATGATGATGACTGTTTGGACTGTCTTTCATACTACCTGCTAACTGGAAAATAACGAACTATTCCAGAAACTGAATATCCTCAAGATAGTCATTACAGACATGTATAAAACGGCTGGTCAATAGCATAATTCGCTTATAATACCAAAATGTAGTCACATTTTTTCAGCGAAAACCCATGCAATCGCTTATCTTCGAGTTCCGGCCGATAACTGCTACCTTGTCGTGGTGGTCGGGCTTGAATACCGCAGTGACCCAACATGCTAAACTGACTGGGACTCTGTGCCTGCAGGTCCTACCATGTCAGGAAGGTTGTTTAGATAGCGGCTAAACTAAAAGCAGTTACTATGGGGTACATGGGCTCCGGTATCCAATCGGATCATCCAATGGCGTATTAACCCATATGGATAACAGGCAACCATGGGAATGCAGCTCCTGACGCTGCTCCGCGCTGCCTTGCGGATTAGACTCCAAGTCAAAGGCTCGGGGGGTTGATCCCTTAATAAAACCACCTGCTTCGGTTTGGGGGCCCGCGGAGCATCTCAGCTCTCACACAATGAATTGAATAAAGCAACAAACAATCAATGAAACTTATCGCGTGCTATTACACGTGTTGCGATTTCCTTCTTTCTTCTCTTCCCGATGATAGTTAACGAATACTGTTTGAACTAGTTAAGCATGACTGTTTTCCTTCCAGACGAAGTTCTTTATCTGTTCTCTACTTATATATATATATTCTCTTCTTTCCTTTTTTTTCTTTTGATCTATGTTGTTTTATTATTATTGTGTGGCGCATCCTTCTTGGTGCCACATTGTACCAAGTTTTAATGCGTTTAAATAAATAAATAGAATAAATATCTTCAAGTATAATAAATAAGCAAATAAAAAGCAAACTCGGTGTGTAGAATACTTCATAACATAATTAATGTACAGTGATATATATATATATATATATATATATATATATATATATATATATATATATATATATATATATATATATATAGTCAGTTTCATTTACAACAAGGTTGAATAAAAATGAGAAAACAAGCTCTACGGGTACTGGCTGATATTACCAACTAACTGTGTGTGCTTTTTAACAAAAATGAAAAAGAAAGAAAACAAAAGTAATACAATGATAACGGCGATAAGTAATCAGTATAATGATAATGACAATAAAAACAATAAATATTATAAAATAATAATAATAGTTAAAGTCAATTTGAACACGTTTCATTTCAAGATGAGAAAGTGTTCGCTAAGTAAATATTATTGGGGATACGAGGTCTGTATACACTCTACAATAATAATAAAAATATTAATAATAATAACTGGACAGTAAAATGTGATAAACGAATTAGAACGATGAAAGCGGTTGACAGCGATAATACTTGACAACTACTTAACCTATTAAAATGCTTATGATATACATAGGAAATATGGGGGGAAAAAGTAGACTAAGAGATTTTTGAACTACAAGTTGTGGAATTTCTCATAGGATATAGAGTAAGTGAAAAAGACAAATAACAGGGCCCTTGTCCTCCCGAATCCAAAGTAAGTAGAATGTAGAATAGTAAAATAAGGTGACAGCGTATGTACAAAAATGAAGAAACAAATAGGAAAAGGAATATATCTCTACAATATAAAAGTGTGACAAGAAGCACAAAGAGAAAGTCAGAAAAAGTAAAAAAAAAGCATAACACGTTGTATTTGTCTAAATGTTTGTTAAATGCCCTGCAATCAATCATGGTTGGGTTGGATTTTCTCTCTCTCTCTCTCTCTGTCTCTCGAGTAGGTTTGATTGCAGACAACAAGGTGAGATGTAAAATTAGCAGTGTTTTACACATTTCTTAACAGGAAGAAGAGAATATAGATAACAAATGTAGAGAAAGAAAGGAAAAAAAAGGGAAACTATTTATCACAAAAGTTGGAATGAAGGTAATGATAACACTTTTGATGAATGATAATTGCAACTTGTCATTTTCAGACAATTACGATGAGATCTTCACACTGTCCGCATGCAAGATACAACGTTGTTATTGAGTAAGCATTCACCGTCCATCCTATACAAATCAATCTGGGAAATAAATACACGCCTTTGGTAAGTGATCTATTCGCAGAACCTGAAGGAGAAGAAGAATACATCTCAGAGTACAGCTTCTTCTATATATATATATATATATATATATATATATATATATATATATATATATATATATGTAATTTATTCTATTTTATTCCTTTTATAATCCCAGTGGAACATCGGGCTTCAAGTTTCAGTAGCAGTGATATTTATTTTAATGGGACGTGGTCACCAGCCTCAAGCCCAACCTTCCCTGTTTACCAGTCTTATTACTGCCTTAGCGATGTAAGGGGGTGTGCCAGCCGGGAATCGAACCGCAAACCACCTGCGTGGTTGGCAAGCATTCTCCCGCTATGCCACCGACGCACATATATATATATATATATATATATGTTTAAGTCAAACACCAACAGTTTTTTTAGCACAGTACACACCTTAGGTTCCAACGTCACATGACTATATTAACTATGCGTATTAAGACTACTATATATTTGGAAAACATGAAGTGTTTGAATTCATCAATTGTTGGGTTAGCAAATACAATAAAATTTATAAAAAGTCTATACAACGGTAAAGCCGATAATAGAGCTATGCATATTACGACATAAATGCCAGTCAAATAATAAAAAGGTAGGTACATTGATATAAAACAACAATTCAGTGAATCAAGTCAATAATTAAAACCTACGTAAGTTACACATGTGCACCACTCCGTCCTCCTTTATGGTTGTGGGACTTGGCCACTGAGAGTGGAAGACATGAAAAGACTAGCTGTCTTTGATCATAGGTGCCTGCGTTCTATTTCCCGTGTAAAATGGCATAATAAGGTGAGCAACATGGAGGTTAGGCGTAGAGTTCTAGGTAAACCGGGGAAACCAATCGACGAAGTCGTGAAGCTACAAAGACTGAGATGGTTAGGACATGTGTTACGTATGCCAAGCCATCGCCTCCCTCGACGAGCTATGTTAGCGGATATAGGGTCAGGCTGGAAAAAAGCTAGCGGCGGTCAAACAGAAACTTGGCATCAGTCAATGAAATCCACAACAGTTGGTCTAAGCCACGTAGAAAGGTGTAGACTTCCACGCTGGGGTCCTCGGGACGGTAAAAATCTATGGTTGGAAACAATTGGTGACATGGCTCAAAACCGTTCTCAGTGGCGCAGATGCATCCACTTCCTGTGACTTATGATCTTCAATGAAACTGTTTTGTTCTTCGTTATTACTCCTCCTTTGTCTCACACCTCTGTTTACTGTCTCTCTCTATTATGCTTTTCTTGTACTTTCTTCTCTTGCTTCACGTGCTACACGGAATGTGGCGACTTGAACTTCCGCACATTTGTGCAAAGTTCTATGTCGAAAACAGACAGACAGACACATGTGCACAGTATTATCTCGACAGGAGTAATAGCTATAAAAATTGACATGCTGTTGTCAAAGACGTTGTAATTTTTAACAGTATAGATTATTAAAACACCATAATGTGACTTTTCTATGCAAATCTAACAAGTTATTAGAAAAATTTTCTTAGGATAGGTGAGTATTTAACTTTTAAACAGTAAAACCGTCTATGCATCCTTCATAAGAAAGTCAAATTTAGAAAGCTTAAGACACACTTCAATATAAGCAGATAAAACATTCAAGTATTGGTTTGTAGGGATTTGGTTGATTGGTTACAGGATTTCATCATGAGTTGACATTAGTTAGAGAACCAGTGGGAAACCTAGGAGTACTGGACAGCTGTTTCGTCCTAGTTTGGGGGCTCTTCATCAGTACGCACTCACCGCCAAAGTTCGGACCCAGGACCTTCTGGTTACAAGGAGAGCTAACTCGTAGACCATTAAGCCACTGGGGCCCGATCCAATGTCCCATGAATTGTAACTTCTGCCAATTCACGACATAGCGCGACCCCTAGCCAATGTCTTCGGCGAGTATTTTCCTCAAACCCGCCCTGCTGCACCCTACTGAATCGGGTCCCAATGGCTTAATGGAATACGAGCTCGCCTTGTAACTAGAAGGTTCTGGGTTCGAATCCCGGTGGGTACGTACTGATGAAGATTCCCAAACTAGGACGAAACAGTTGCCCAGCACTCCCAGGTTTTCCAGAGATAAAACATTATTAGAACTACTTTTAAAGCCGTAAATAAGTAATTAATATTTAAGTAGCGAAAATGTCTTAATAGACATTAAAAGACAACTAACTATGTAAAGACCCAAAACTAATGTCAGTGAAAGAGAAGTACGAAAAAATTATAAGGATTAGAAACGAAATATGCTAAAGGGAAGGTTTGATTGATGTAGGATAACGACTGATGTTTGTAAGCACTGAAAATTCCACTTCGAAAATCATATTCACTGGAAATTTTTTCAATAATTAAACTCATGTTATTCACGAATATTTAGAGATTTACTGTGCAACTCTGTAGAACAGCAGTCCAAACCGAAACGACCTAACGAACGGACAAATGACCTTGAGCAACCAATCAGGTGACTCTGTTTTCTCCAGAGGTAATTATGGATGCTCTACACCTACTGCGTTGCAAATTCGCTCCGGATCTTGTTTTTGATTACTGTTTGGATAACGGACTGATTGGAAGGTCGAAAATTTTTCATTGCTTAGGTGTAATGCGTAAACAAAAATACACAAAATGCATTGATGGGTTTGTGTACAGGTGTAGTGAGTGCCGAAGCAGAAAATCAGTTCGAGTAGGTATGTTGTACCTTTTTAGTTTACAGATTCCTTAGGCACTTTTTTATCAAAGTCTAAATTACCGTTAACAAAAATTTTAATGATCTGTCATTTCTGGTTACTGAACAGACCAGTTAGAGCAACAGCTTATGAAACAGAAAATTCAGAAGTGTCTGCAGTGCAATGGTACCACTACTGCAGAGACGTGTCGTACTGGAAAATGAACACGCTAACTCAAGTTTTTGGAGGAGTTGGTGTAATCGTTCATCGAAGTTGTCCTTGTCAAGGTTATTTGTCCCTTCGCTAAGTCGTTTCGGTTTGGTCTGCTATTCTTTAGAGTTGCCAGAAAACCTTCTACTACAGAAATTAACTACACCTTCTACAAAAAACAGAATAGCTAACATAGATTTAACGCCTTAAACTTCAAGTATTTAATAATGCTTAGATGAGAAATATTTTTCAAATAACTAAGCTATAAGTAGACCTTTAACAGTTAACCAATAGAGCAGCATCAACTAACAAGTAGAATCTGGCTTTTTTTTCAAAAATTGGCAGTATTACCTTTATCCCTATCAGTTGTTTAGCTTCGTGTAACAACAACTGCATATGTCATGTACTTCCCCTATGCAGACTTTAAATCGAAAGAGACTTCGACGCTTTCTTTAAAAGCCTTGCAATCACCTGTAACAGATTACAGCCATAAAAGTACAGCTTAAAACAATTAAAAGAAGCTAGCAAGGCACTAAGTTGTTTCTTCTTTATCCTTATTATGTTTCTGTGCGGTATTTTTTCTAACGCTACCATCCCATAATGTTAAAGATTACTGTTATGTACTCGTCGCCAAATTATTGCTTTGTACTAGTCGAGAATTTATTAGTCCTGACGCAAGAAAGACGGAAATCAGAAGACCACTAGGTTTGCGATGATACTTCTATTTTCCAAACACAAGGAGAATCAATGTATATCAGACAGTAGTGTGAGAGCAAAATATATATGAATGTCCAAACACGTGTGAACAATCAATAGACAGTCTTAACATGATTGGCTAATTATAATGGAGTATCGATCCATATATACATAGCAAAATATAGCAGACATGTCAACAAACACACATATTATATATAATATAAGGGGAATATACATTGTTAAAGGAGACAGGTTCATCAAAGTGAAATGGTCACAGACTAAGAGAGCAACAGAAAGAGAGACCACCATATATATATATATATATATATATATATATATATATATATTGGATACATATCAATTACATGAAACCAGTAAATCCTACTTTTTTCCCATCTTTGCCGCTAAATTGAGATTTGTATTGAATGTTTTTTTTACACAAGTGTGTGTTATGTTATGAAAGATTTTGGCCTAGAATGAAGTTTTATGCAGAAATCTATTTTGAAGTAGAATGTGAACAAAGCAGTTATGTAGGGTAATTAACTTGACTTGTAACTCATTTAAATCATGATATCACAAGAAAAGATGCCTTCAAGATATTTGAATACGACATGATATCATTTTACGTAGACAACTGGTATAAGACATATCTGCGTGAATCAACGCCATTCACAATGTTAGAATACCGCTTACACTACCATAAACGACAAGATTTTCCAGCATAATTGCAGTGCCTTCAGTGCAAAATTCAGACCAAAACTCTCTATACTGAAAAAAAGTGAGATGACGGAAATACACCCTTAAACAAGTAACACAACCACTGGAAGATGAATTGAATAGGACTAATGAAGAACTGCGTGTGACAGTATTATAAGAGAAGTGAAACCAGCTGAGGAGTAAAATCTAGAGATAGACACTTGAGAGATTCAGTGAACCTAAACGAGTCGCCTAACGGAAACATACTCATGTAGGTGTTTAGTTTTAATTGTGTTGACCGGGATCATGATGTTATAAACAAAATGACTTTGAATTTGGATCAATAATAATCAGGGTACTTAAGTACAGTTACTCAGCAACATTGACCTATATATCTTTAAGTCGTAGTTCAAATGCACGCGCAAGGCAGGAATAAAAGTGGCATTCAAACCCACAAACTCAATTAGAAACAAGCTTTGTCGGTTAAAGGATCCTGTGGAGCCTTTAAAACAAAACAATTTGGTTTATCTAATACCCTGGCTGTAATGATTGTCAGGTTAAATACATAGGTCAAACTAGTAGAACAGGAGCAGTCAGACTAGTCAAACATAAAAACCTAGCAAAATCTAGAGTGGTTGACCAGAATAAGATGAGAAATCTAGAGAATAGTTCAGCCATAGCATTACATGCAGTCACACACAACCATACAATAAGATGGGATAGGATGACAGTTTTAAAACCTAATGTAACAGCAGGATTGGGGGGGGGGGAATTGATAACAGAAGCTTTGCACTTATCGAATCAACTGCAAATACATGTAATAGAAATGATTCAACACCTGTCCCAGATACCTAGAAAGTTCTACTACCCCAACGACGACATATAGAAGACAAAGAAAACTATAAAACTCAAGTTGCGAAGTCGTGTGATTATAATTGATATGATTATGAACAATAAATTTAGTTCGAAACGTCATCCAGTCAATAATACCGTTCCACTGTGTGATGCATCAAATAAACATATAAAATACACAAGATTGAAAGCTAAGGTTGTTTTTCTGAAGAGGCATTCATAAATATCCACTTCTCAAGCTTCTCTTCTACACTGCGCTTCATTGATTGCTTACTTATTTTACACGGTTAACACTAAATTTAATTTGATAAAATCTCGACAAGTATCATGGATTCCTACTGAATATAACCTTACAAATCTCACAAGTAAGGACAATAATACAACACACGTATTGAATACATTATAGTTAGTCTACTTATTTTGCGCAGTCAAGTCTATATTTCTTGTTTTCAAGTAAAACCTTCCGTCGGTGGCACAGCGGTTGGGACGCTCGCCGACCATGCACATGGTCCGGGGTTCGATCCCCGGCCGACGAACTCCTACATCTCGCTAAGCCAGTAATAAAGCTGGTAAAGAGGAAAGGTTGGGCATGGGGCTAGCAACCCCATCCTGTAAAAATAAACACTGCTACAGAAACTTCAAGCCACTAGCTTGAAGCCCTATGTTCCACTGGGGAACGTGAAGGAAAAAAAACCTATGATACATTCTCTGACATTACAAAGGAAAATTACAAGTCACCTTAGTCGGCAGTGGAAAATAGGCATCTAAAAAGACGATGGGTGATCCCAATTATATCTACCACAAAAAAACTGCAACAAATAAAACCACTACAATCACTCCATCGATTGATAATACGAGAGAAATACTGGGCAACATGGAGTTCTTATCTGAATATTTTATTCACACTTTAATACTTAGCTACTCAATGTGGATAAAACATTTCGAAAGTCCACTTTTAATCACCTCCAAAGTGAACTATTTTTTCTTTGTTCTTAAAAATCTTTTGGAGTCAATAACGATGCTCAGTGTTGACTAACATACAGTTAACACAGTTGTCACACGAGATTTAAATTTCCCGATAGCAACATTTAAATCCCTTTGTTAACCATTTTGATGAAGTGAAAACACTTCTTTCAATAAGATCTCGTTGTACAACTGAGCAGCTGAGCTGTCCCACACAATCTATGTGGGACAAATAATCAGTTCATGGATAAAACAAACACAACACTTAAAACTGTGTTAAACTATTGACTCAAAATGATACGGACAGAGTAAGTATGTAATTAAAGTGAAAATGTATTTTTTTTTAAACCTACATATTCCATTAATGTTGTCGTTTCAGAAGATCGCTGTTTAACTAGGGATAAACGTAAACCAATGTTACAATACAACCGAATATTTTCCGCTTCCAGTATCTTTTGTAGATCTCTTCTTGTTCGCCTACTCAAATGAATGACTGGCCACAATGAACATCCAGCTGTACAACAACAACATAACAACCCGCAAACAAACCACCTAACATGATTAGGTAGTGAACTTTCCAAGCGATCATTAATTTTGCGTATGCTTTCTTCAAATTCTTCAGGAGCCAATTTACCGTGTAGTTCACTGGGGAATTCTTCCTTGAATTTATTATTTATCCCAAAACTAAAATGAAGAAAAACAGGTAGTAAATAACAAAAGTGATACGGATACAAATTGTATCTCCCCACCCAACCCACTTTTTATTTAATAATAGTGATAAACACAGGCATAGACAATACAACAGATATTTTCGTGCAGCAGTAAGTTATCTAAAGTCTCTGCACCTCGAAGTATGCATAACAAGCACAGGTAACGACTAAACAGAGTACTAACTTAAATAGCACGAAATTCCTATATACATCTTGGCAACATAGAGGGTTAAGATTGTGCAATACACGAATTATCAATGTATGGTTAAGAGACCATTGAAAGAAGCTGATAAAATTATGACCAAGAAAGTATACTTCAAACAACATACAATAATAGAAGCCCTTAATAACATTCTTTATCTCCTAATGACTCCTTTTTCACCAACGAAAAGTACGTTGAATAGATATAAATGTATTCACTCAATGTTTTGTAAGATGATATATTGTAACAGCAGGAAGGCAAGACACGGAAGCCAAGGTATATTTTCAATTGATCATATATATATATATATATATATATATATATATATATATATATATATATATATATATATATATATATATATATATATATATATATATAATATTCTCTAACCAATCATTGAGCGTGTGATTTTGGCGTACATTAAATGACATGAAATAGAATTTTCAAATAGATACGTCGTATTCTGTTGCTAATGCTGTAGTGAACTGTGGGAATATGTGAGAATAATACTCTCTTGGAACACATTGTCTGTATCACGACACCATAATATGTAAAACCACTGGTACCTTCACGTAATTCATGTGGAATCTGAATATCCTAGGTGACTGACTGACTAGTTCTAAGATACACACTTGCACAGATGTGCACCAGTTTGAGTTGCCACTCTCGATGTAGCACACAAAGCAAGAAAACAGAGAAAAGATAGATTCAAAAAAGAAATAATAAACAGAAGTGAGAGCGAAAAAGGATAGTAATATGTAAGAACAATAGAATTTAATTGGATACTATTAATCACAAAGTGAATGCACCTGCTCAAATGGCAGCTATTTCGAGCCGCATCACCAATTGTCTCCAGCCATTGGTTTTCACCATTCTGACTACCTCAACCAGGAAGTATACATTTTCCTACGTGACTGGCTGGCTTATACTAACTGTTGTGCAATCCAATGACTGACTCCATGTTTTCGGTTAGACCACCACTAGCTCTCTACCAATGTGATCCATTCTATGTCAGCTAACATTGCCCGTTGTCGAGGAAGGCATGCATAATACATGTCCTAACCATCTCATACTGTGTAGCGTCACAGAATCGACTATTGATTTCCTCTCCTTACCCAGCACCCTGCCGATGCCTAACCTCAGTATTACTCACCCTGTTATACCAGCTAGCACAGGAGATAGAACGCAGGCACCTATGATCAAAGACAGCTAGCCTGGCTTTTCATATCTTCCACTTCCAATGGCTATGTCTCACTCACAGCCATAAAGGCAAACGGAGAGGACCGCTGAGCAGTACACACGTCCTTTGCTCGATATCCGGATATCACGTCTACGCCAGAGACTGTGTAAACTGGCATATGCGAAACGAGTCCTCTGTATCCGTGCTGAGATTTCGTTAACGATCAGCCCATTGGCACTGACTGATGTAACTTCCTAAATAAGTGATGTGGTCAACACGCTCTATGACTTCACTCCCTATTTCTAAGCTAGGAGTGAGTCGATGTAGTCCAGTCCTGTAACATCATCTTACATTTGGCGGGAGCAAATTGCATGCCGAACATTCCCAGATCGCAGCTCAAGGCGTCCAGAAGACTCTGCCTCGGTTCGTCAGCGTCTTCACCTGGATGGGAGGACTATATCATCTGCATATTCTAAGTCAGAGAGATTATTCCTTGGTGGTGACAAGTCAGTCCCTGAGTTACTGAAGTCAGTTAGTGCTAAGTTCATTAGTAAATCTATGATGAAATTGAATAGAAATGGGAATAGTGGGCATCCGTGACGGACACCACTAGTTGTCACCACTTCAGACGACAACACCCCGTAAGCTGTCACCTGGCTACATGAGTTCAAGTAGAGTGAGTGCCTTGATCAATGCAACGGATTTTCTCGGGATTCCCTCCACAGCCAAACATCGCCAGAGAACATCGCGATCAACGGGATCGAATGGCGTCTTTAGGTCAAGAAATATAACGCCTGATGGATGCCGGTAAGTATGCCTATGTTCCACAATCTCTAAGGGTGAAGATATAATCAATACACCCTTTCCCTAGTCTAAAGCCCACCTGGTGTACTCATATTTGTTCCTGTCGAACAAGACTTAGTCTATACATCATTATTGAGTCTAGAACTTAAGACGGCATGTTGGTCAAGCTAATCTCCCCGTGATTATCACAGGAAGACTTGTCTCCCTTCTTGTGTATGGGGATAATCAGTAGCTTACACCAACCCGGCGGGACTTCCTCTGATTACCAGACGTTGCCTAGTACTTCAGTTAATGCAGACAGTAAACTGTATTTAAATACTTCTGGAGTCATTTCACCAGGTCCTGATGCTTTGTCTCGTTTCAGAGACAGCTTTTGTAACCTCAGTTAAGGAAGGAGGACCTGCGTCTATATCCCATTCAGAGAGGTGGTGGATCTTTGGTAAGTTGAGTGTGGCCGTAAGCCAATTAAACTGCTACTCAAAATGTTTCTTCCATTCTGAGAGCTAATTAAGGCGCTACTTTTCTCGTTGGTAGCCCCACTTGTCATTTGCCTTTTGCCGCTTGCTTTTCTAATAAGCCTAAATGATTGTCTAGGTGATTAATTATACGTGGAACTTCGCTAAAATTATTGATTGATTGTTCGCATGACGCTATTCATTGAGTTTATCTCCAGAGAAACTTATTTGATATAGATTTCGTGCCTGTGAAGTGAAATGAGCTTTCAACGTTAAAATTTGCTCGTGTCTTAGTTTGTGTTGCCACAGTTCATAAAAACACATACAAAGGTAGAAAAAATAAAAGAGAAATGCAAATGAAACATATTCAACGGAGATTAACACACGGAAAATCAAACGGAAAATAATACCGACTAAACTGACATGGCAGATCAAAAAAAGTGAATACATCTACACCATTGGTTCTTAACTCTCAGGTCAGCTGAATCTCTGTCTGTCTGTCTGTTTTCGACATAGAACTTTGCACAAATGTGCGGAAGTTCAAGTCGCCACATTCCGTGTAGCACGCGAAGCAAGAGAAGAAAGTACAAGAAAAGCATAATAGAAACAGTGAGCAGAGGTGTGAGACAAAGGAGTAATAAAGAAATACAAAACAGTTTCATTGAAGATCATAAGTCACAGGGAGTGGATGCATCTGCGCCACTGAGAACGATTTTGAGCCATGTCACCAATTGTTTCCAACCATAGATTTTTACCGTCCCGAGGACCCCAGCCTGGAAGTCTACACCTTCCTACGTGGCTTAGACCAACTGTTGTGGATTTCATTGACTGATGCCAAGTTTTTGTTTGACCGCCGCTAGCTTTTTTCCAGCCTGACCCTATATCCGCTAACATTGCTCGTCGAGGGAGGCGATGGCTTGGCATACGTAACACATGTCCTAACCATCTCAGTCTTTGTAGCTTCACGACTTCGTCGATTGATTTCCCCTGTTTACCTAGAACTCTACGCCTAACCTCAATGTTGCTCACCTTATTATGCCACTTTACACGGGAAATAGAACGCAGGCACCTATGATCAAAGACAGCTAGTCTTTTCATGTCTTCCACTCTCAGTGGCCAGGTCTCACAACCATAAAGGAGGACGGAGCGGACTGATGAGCAGTACACCCGCCCTTTGGTCGATAGTCGAACATCTCGTCTACGCCAGAGTCGGCGTAAACTAACAAATGCGAAACGAGCCCCTTGTATTCGTGCTGAGATTTCGTCAGAGATCAGCCCGTTGGGGCTGATGGTACTTCCCAAATAAGTGAAGCGGTCAACGTGCTCTACCACTTCACTTCCTATTTTTAAACTAGGCGTCGATGTAGTCCAGTCCTGTAACATCATCTTGCATTTGGCGGGAGCGAATCGCATGCCAAACATTCGTAGATTGCGGCTCAAGGTGTTTAGAAGACTCTGCATTTCGTCAGCGTCTTCGCCTAGAAGGACTATATCGTCTGCATATTCCAAGTCAACGAGATTATTCCCGGTAGCAAGTCAATCCCTGAGTCGCTGAAGTCACCTAGGGTTAAGTCCATTAACACATCTATGATGAAGTTGAATAGAAAAGGAGATAATGGGCATCCTTGACGGACACCACTGGTCGTCATCAGTTCAGATGACAGCTCGCCGTAAGCCCTCACCTGGCTGTATGAGTACGAGTAGAGTGCCTTAATCAGTGCAATATATTTTCTTGGAATTCCCTTTACAGCCAAGCATCTCCAGAGAACTTCCCGATCGACAGAGTCGAATGCTGCCTTTAGGTCAAGAAATATAATGACTGTTGGACGCCGGTAGGAATGCCTATGTTCTAGAATCTGTCGGAGGGTGAAGATATGATCAATACACCCTCTTCCTGGTCTAAAGCCTGCCTGGCTCTCTCGTGTTTGTGCTTCCCGAGCACCACTCAGTCTACGCATGATTATTGAGCCTAAGACTTTAGATACTATATTAGTCAAGCTAATCCCTCTGTGATTATCACAGGAAGACTTGTCTCCCTTCTTGTATATGGGGATAATCAGTGACTTACACCAACCCGATGGGACTTCTTCTGATTCCCAGACGCTGCCTAGTACCTCAGTTAATCCGGACAGTAAGCTGTCTCCACCGTACTTAAATACCTCTGGAGTCATTCCATCAGGTCCCGCTGCTTTGCCTAGTTTCAGATTGGTGACAGCTTTAGTAACCTCAGTTAGTGACGGAGGACCTGTGTTTATATCCCATTCAGGGAGGTGTTGGATGCTCGGAAGGTTGAGCGTGGCTGTGGGCAAATTAAACTGCTCCTCATAATGCTCTTTCCAACGATCCAGTCGTCTATCCTGGGAGCTAATTATAGTGCCATTTTTTTCCGAGATTGTCTCACTGATGATTTGTCTTCTCCCACCCGTTTCCCTGATGAGTCCAAAGAGTTGCCTGGTGTTGCCTATCCTCGAAGCTTTCTCCATCTCTTTGGCTTTTGTCGCCCACCACTGTTCACGGTCCTTGCGGAGACTTTTCGTAAGTTTCCTCTTGTGCAGCTTTCGCTCCTCATTGAATTCGGAGCTCGCCGGAATAAGTCTTCTAGCATCTATCAGTTCGGATGAGGCGGTGGAGATCCAGTGGTTTTTACTCACCTTTGGGTTTACCTTATTCACAGCTTTTACAGCTGTATCTATGGCTGCCTGGATATTTTTCCAAGCTTCTTCAGGGTGAGCACAGCTGTCGAACACAGATATGTGTTTAGCTAGTTCTTCCTGAAATACGGATTTAGTTTCCTGATCGAGCTGGGGACGTGATGGTTTTACCGCCAGCTGTTTCCTACGTCCGTTCAGTCGTAAGCACACCCGAGCGCGGACCAGTGCATGGTCGGTATCTACGCACGTGTTCCAGAAGGAGCGACAATCTCCTACCGACCCACGCCAACGATAGCTTATTGCTATGTGGTCTATTTGTGTCCAGCGTTGGTTTGATGAAGGGGGTCTCCAAGTCAAACAGTGTCTCTCCTTGTGTTTGAAGTTAGTGCTTACAAGAAACAAATGATTATCAGAGCAGAACTGTAGGAGACGGTCACCGTTGTCGGTTCGCTGGCACGGAACTCCATAGGTGCCACCGACATCCTTCTCAGATTGACACAATTTCCCTACTTGAGCGTTAAAGTCACCAGCTAGAACGACTATGTCTGAGCGTTTAGCCTTTCCACCAAACTAGACAGCTTTTGGTAGAACTCATCCTTCGTTTCATCTGAACTGCAGTCAGTGGGGGCGTAGGCGGAGATTACGAAAAGGCATCGGCGAGTAGTGCAGTCCTTCCTCCTTCTTACTGATCCGTTCAGGCGGACAGCACACATTCGGCTATCTACCGGGATCCAGTCAAGCAATGTCTTTTCTGCCCTAGTACTCAAAGCTATCCCTACGCCAGCTAATCCTCGTGAACTAGCTGTGGCATCTCCTGACACCCTCAAGGTGAATTTTGCAGATTCAACCTGTTGGCCAGGTGGGGTTAGGTGAATAACCACACTTGGGTCTTGTATGCGTGTTTCTGAAACACAGCATACATCAATGGCTCGTGATGCCAGGGTCTTGGCTAGTGATGCTTGTTGTCCTATTTGGCAAAGTGTCCTAACATTAAGAGCTCCTATATGAAATTGGTGGCGCGGCTTTAAGAGGCTGTCGGTGGTGGTTTTTTGGCTTCCATCGTTTTTAGTGGACGCAGAGTGGAGAGGAAGTGGAGAGCTATCAAGTCGAGGAGTTGCATCAGTGGAAGGAAGGCAAGATGATAGAGATGAAGATGAAGACAAAGATGAGTGAGTAATAGAGAGGTTTCGTGTGCATTTCGGATTGTGAGGGCGATTGTTACTTCCCGGCTGCCCACACCGTGGAAGTTGGTTGCGTGACCGCAGAGCCCAGGGGACAACTGCTTGAGGCCGGTCACACGCGGCCTGTTTTTGTTCGTTCTTTTTTGTTTGGTGTGTCTCAGTAGCAGATTTATCACTCCTGCCCTGTGACACGGCAGCAGGAAGCGCGGTCGTTGTTAATCCGGGCCACGGCCGATCCGGCATGAAATTTTGTAATTTTGTATTGGACATGATGTTGGATTGGGTAGCTGCTTTTTGTTTAACCGCTATCCAAACAACCTGCCTGGCATGGTAGTACCTCAAGAGACATAAGTCTCAGCCAGTATAGCTTGAATAGATCATTGCGGTGTTCAAGCCCGACCACCACGTCAAGGTAGCAGCTTTCGGTCGGGAAACTGGCAAATGCGGAACGAGCACCCTGTATCCGTGCTGAGATTTCGTCAGAGATCAGCCTGTTGGGGCTGATGGTACTTCCCAAATAAGTGAAGCGGTCAACGTGCTCTACCACTTCACTTCCTATTTTTAAACTAGGCGTCGATGTAGTCCAGTCCTGTAATATCATCTTGCATTTGGCGGGAGCGAGTCGCATGCCAAACATTCGTAGATTTCTGCTCAAGGTGTTCAGAAGACTCTGCATTTCGTCAGCGTCTTCGCCTAGAAGGACTATATCGTCTGCATATTCCAAGTCAACGAGATTACTCCCCGGTAGCAAGTCAATCCCTGAGTCGCTGAAGTCACCTAGGGTTAAGTCCATCAACACATCTATGATAAAGTTGAATAGAATACTATACAAACACGATTATTCGTTGTTTGAAAGATTCACGTTCACACCTGAATACGGACCTGGCAAAAAAAGTCATTAATCTCGAAGTGTATGATTGGTGAGTTATTGAGAGGAAGTATTTACAAGTATATAATAGTGTATACAACGGAAAGAACATAACACTATGAACATTTAGACTTTAAAAATAAGCATATAAATGCTCAAATATGATTTCTGATCTCAAATAACACTACCAGATTAAACACATTTCTGTTGTACTAGAGAAATATGTTCTGACAAAACTCCTCGTGTACCGGACTCGACTGAAATTACTGAAATGTGAGCATAGTTGACAGACAGTACCTTCACGTGATGGTCGGGTCTGTGTCATAAAAGCGACATGAACTTTACTGGCTGGAACGCATTTTCTCAAAGGTTCTTTCACGCTAGAAATGTTGCTTGAATAGGAGTAAGATTAAAAGCAGTTACCATAGTATAGTGTACGTATGAATGTAACGTCACACTGCTGACGAGTTGGGATGTAACAGAAGTGAGGTGTTTCCGTAAGCAAGTCAGCTTGCTGTCTCTATGCTTAGGAGAGGAGAGATTATGTATCCAAACACCCTTAAATGGTCCCTATATTGCGACAAGGTTTTTAAAACTAAACGGTTCTAGAAACCACTCCCAAAATACCGTGTGTGACGGGCCTTAAGCAGTTACCTTCTGTTCCAAGTAGGACATTTTTGATAAATCCAAGACCAAAATAGGATTTAGGGAGTGCACTGTTCATGGTGGTTTTAGATATATACGTCTACCAACTAAAAGGACTTTCTTCAAATTACACGGTAACTGACCATTTCCAGTTTATCAACAAAATCATTGGGTTATTAGCATATAAGCACTTGGTTACACTCGATGTTATCTAATTATTCACGCGTCGTGGTTACAGTAACAATGTACCTTGTTTGCTACTTAGTAGATAACTGTCTTATACCAATTGGTATAAGACTTTTAAAAGTCAATGTGTACTGTATGGAGGTTCAGTTCTTATGCAACAGGAAACGTATCAGAATTTTTGTTGGTAGACATGTTTTCAGAGAGTTTTGAATGTACTTCCAGAGATGATTTTAAATCCAAAGCTGAAATGAACTTACGACATATGGATTTCTTTATTATATATTAAATTGAGTAAGTCGCAGAAGTTTCAATGCCATCCAGCCATACAATTTCAATGAATTCGGAAATGATACCTTTCAGGGGGTTTTTGTATCTCAGTGAGTATATAGAATACTTTAGATATCTGTAGGTCGGAAACCATTATTAATCAGATACTGTCTACATCATAATTGTTTCATTCCAGCTCAGTACAAAAAGAAATTGAACTCGGCACCAGATCAAACGACAGAAATTCCTGTAGGACATATTAATCAAAACGTTTATTCGGCAAGGTTAATAAACAAATATTCTGAAAGGAATTAACTGGAAATATAGCAAGTGTGCCGTAATAACGCATGTAGCAAGCTCCCACGAAATATAAAGCCTGTCTTTAATTCAGCCGAAAAAGCCCATAAAATCAGCTGTCACATCGGTTTTAACCAAAATAATAACATATCCCAGCTAGCATTTTCTTCGGGTGCATTGCGGACTTTTTGGGGCAAAAACTTCGGGTTGATCTACTTACGTGGGACAGTGTCCCGAAGTCTGCCCCCAAAAATTCTGCAATGCGCCCTACGTATGCCCCGAAAGGTCTGCAATTTGCTCTAAGTCTTCCTCGGAATTCGCAATATGTCCAAATTCTGCTCCAAAAAGTCTGCAACGCGCCCGAAAAAAAATGCTAGCTGGGATAACTCGTGTATTGGCTGCTTATGATTTCCCAGATGATATCCGTGTACACGACAACAAATTTAGCTTTACGATCTTTTCATATACCACACATTTCAGATAAAAACTATGTAAAAATATACAGAGGTTATTTTAACTCCGAGAACAACTGCACTTAACCCAAGCTTACAATAATTCTAATGATGAATTAAAAACAGTATATATACCAAATTAACCCACATTGTGATGTCTCCACAACCTTTCACAAACACAGGTTCACGAGGTCTTTCACATTGTCCGGATGATACGTAATTAAGGAAATCTATTCCATCCGTATCGTCCATTCTCACATGACCCGGCTTGTGAACTTACTGACTAAAACCAACCTAATGTTCAATGAATATATATTTTTTATTTCCCGAGGGGTACATTAGATGACTAACAAATTAAATTTCGGTTGGCTTAGAGTGTAGGTTGTAAAATACGTCATATCGTGAACATCATGAGATTATGAGTAACGGGCATCTTTTGACATACCATATCATCTTTGAGTTTTATCATATCTGCAATATTCTTTTGTATTTATGAGCAGCTAGAATAATCAGGTTTGTGAACTCTAGTTATTGAATGCTAAGCTTACTCGTGGGCAACAGTACGAACTAGAAATAGAAAGTACAGATGTGGCTCTAGCATCGTACCCTCGACTACACCACCCATTTAAACTACTTTGTCAATCATGACTCTGTTATTTTGATCCTCCAGTGTTTTGCGCCAGGTACTTACAAAAATGGGATCTCTCAGCTGTGTGAAAACACAACGGCACGGGGTTATAAGAACCTGTGGAGTCCTGAACAATAAGTTTGTGCAGATTTGACAAATGTTAAAAATAGACACACTGTAGATTGCTTTCGTCATCAACTTCGTCAGATACACAAGACCTTCGAGTTCGAACGAAGATGTAGCAGTGACTTCTCCGTTTTCGTCTTCTCAATAGTTTGTACGATCTTCTTGCTTCGCTAATCCTCACGTTGTATTCATCAGCATTAACGAGAACATCTCATCTTCATCTAGCCACTCTTAGAGTATCCAGTACCATCTTCTTTCAGTTCACACATCGCAGAGGTGAACCACTTACGCTGACTTTGTCCTTAATTTTAAGAAGTAGACAATAACTACATCTGCGAGCAACCATTGTCTTATATAATTCATTTATCTGTATTTCCACAATTTGACGTCACAATATTTTTTCACTGACTTAGTTTTTAACTCTGATATTTCGTACCCTTATCGAGCCGTTTGTTTGGTTACCTGCAAACCTGCTTGTGCTTTCAATGGTATATGATTAGCGTCTTTACAGAAAGGAAGACATCACTAATATTATTGCCAACTCTACACTATGCTACATCTCATCTTTTGCAGAACACGTCCTGAGTAGTATTATGTGTTCTAGCGAATACATTGACTTTGCGGTCCACTTTACACCGGCAAACAAAAATTGGTGTCTCACTTATGTGACTTGCCTGCGTTTTTCGAACTATGTATGTGTATCGCTCGTGGCGTTTAGGCCGAATAAGAGGAGATGCTCCGAAGAGATGTTAAACGACTAAGGTTTCTCTGTGAGTCCTATCTACAAATTTCGAACACGAAATAATGGACTGGTCATTGGTATATGTGGCTTCAGTCAATGGTACAATAATGGGTTGGTAGTGTTGATGGGTCCCGGATAGGGATGGAACGAATATCCAGCACTGCCTAATTTTAGTGATTCTGTACATAATGTCGGTTCGTGATGACATCTGCAACAAAAATGGTCAAAATCCTCACGACACTGTCTGACTCTAATAAGATCGCACAACACCAGCTGGATTTATCTAGCATTCTACGACAATGAATTTTATTGAAATGCAATCTCATCATAGTGGTGAAGACGTATAGATTTATAACATAAATTTTGGGGGGATTTCGACCTCAGAAAGAAGCACACAACTTTATGGAAGTGAGACCGCTGGAATAAAAACGCTTATCTATAAAAACAATGACCTGGCATGCATTTTAAAATAACAGAACCGACGGCTGTGGGTAATGTTCCGTCTGTCAATGGAGTTGAAGATTGAACGATCAATTCATGGTTGTTTGCTCAAAACTAACTTCCCCAATTTTCGCGGAGGCATCAATACGACAGTCATCGTCTCATCAGTCGCTGTTCAGAAAGAAGAGTGAAACATCGTCAGAAGTAATCTTATGATTTATTATTGTAATATTTGTTTACAGACCTTAGTTCGTTTATTCCTTTTATATGTTGGTGTAACAATAAAGAAATAACAAGCGGCAGATCGGTGTTTTGGTTTTTGCGTCCGTTATTACTAAGCGTTTCTGAAAACTCAAAGGAACAGCGTGGGCCCGAGCGTAGCGAGAGCTGGGCATTAACGGTTTATGAGACGTGACTGACAGTTTCTGACGATAGAAACAGATCTGGCGGATTCAAACAGTTGGTGAAAGTTTGGATAGTCACCGTTCATTTTTCCTGGTGCCGGTCAAGTCCTCTTTGAACAAGCAGTATCTGGAACTTTTTTGGAATTGGGTCAAGTTCAACAATGCCTGGGTCAAAGAAGGGACAGAGTGTCTTGGATACAAACAGGAAAGTAAGTCATGGTGACTTGTCTGTTAGTTGTAGCGATGTGTCTGATGTTAAGCATGGCATGGTTGATGTTACTGTTTCGCCTTTCAGGGATAATAGGAACGTCAAACTCCCTAAATTTGAACCACGGTGTTTTGATGGAAACCCAGCTGATTATTTACAATTTGTAAAGGAGTTTGAGATCATGTTGAGTGGTGTTTTATTAAATGATGAATTGAAGTTAATGTATTTGATGAGATATTGCACTGGAGATGCTGCAAGAGCTATACAGTGCTGTAAGTTTATGAAGCCAAAAGAGGGCTACTACGAGGCTATGAGCATATTACGTCAAAGGTTTGGAAGACCTTCGATGATTGCAGGGAAATTATTCGAGGCTGTTAAGGGTAATGGTGGTCAATTACGGGATGACTCCAAGGCACTCACTGAGTTTTGGATAATTTGCTAATTTACAAGAATGCAATGATTTCGATGAATCGAATGAGTGACCTCAACTCGAGTTTTAAACTAGAAGTAATAGCAAGACGTCTACCTACTAGACTGTGCGTCGGTGGCACAGTGGTGAAGACTCTCGCTGACCATGCACATTGAAAATTCCATACTTGTACCAAAAAACAGTGTGGAATCAAGCTGTAAATAAAAAAAAAAGGAAGTGGGTGAAGATAAGCTCCCGTATGGAGGATGAGGGTATCGAGCCAAAGTTTGATGATATCCTGAAACTGGTAAATACTAGTGTCAATCAATCTACGAGCAAGTTCACCAGTCTATTACATCTCTCCCCTAGAATAGAGCAGTCTGAGGGTAAAACGCACTCATTGATGACGAGTAGGCCTCAGAGAGGTGGATATCGAGAAGGCTCCATGATGTCTAGTGATGCATATAGACCTAGTGAGTGTAACAGGTTTTGTAGTACATCCTCAACAGATAAGTTACAAGATGCAAGACAAACACGGCTTTGTTTTACACGTGTGCAAGAGGTGCATACAGAAGTGAACTGTGAATCAGTGAGCAAGTTCAGTGATAAGCTAAATGTAAACTCCAGGCCTGACTCCGAATTGTGTGACGATAACGGTGCGGTGAAGAAGTCTGTAGTTGCAACTGGTAAGCCATTGTTGAATAGAGTGTCACAGAATAGAGTTACTGCTTCAGGGTGCAGTTCTGACTCCAAAAGTTTACAAGGTATTACTATTCAGAGTGAAGATATAAAACCTTTTATGATTTGCGAGGAGGAACCAAAATTGTCTACTTCTGTTATTAAAGAGTTTGAAAATGATGAAGTTGACGGTAAAGTGATTATTCGTGATAATGATCATGATACCTCACAGTTGTCTTTGGTTGATCATTATGAGATGAGGGATATGCCTACTACTGCTAAGTTAAATAAAGTTTCTGTACAACTACAACGTGAAGTAGAATTGAACGCAGATGCAGTTGCAGAAGGCATGCATACTTGTGAGACAGTCAGTGTAATTGATCAGCGTGTAGCCCACCTATCATCAGATGATAGTGCTAAACCGGAGCTGGCAGTAAAAGACAGCAGTGGTGGTAATCTTGCAGTTGGACAACTATCTGCGAGCCGAACAAGAACAGCTTCTGATCCACCACTAAGTTCATCACCTTGTGTCACTCAGTCATCGTTGGTGCTGTCATCCAAAATGAAACAGACACCCATCAACTCAAGTATCTTGTCCAATGACTATGGTAGTATCAGTTCGTCTGAAAGGACGAATATCAATGGTCAGTTTAGTGTGGATAAGCCAAGTGTAAAGGAGAGAGTAATTGTTAAATTGACTTGCACGAATAAAGGCATTTCTAGTTTCAAGTTACTAATTGAATGTTATTATCTTTGGTGTAAATTACTCTGTGTCTACGCTTGGTTGACCAGATACGTCGTGTGTTTGTTGGTCATCTATATTCTACGATACAATGACATGAGCGTGTTGCCGTTCAGATTTGAGGATATAGCTCATAGAAGGAAGTTAGCAAATGAACTCTGCGACGATTTTCCAACCTAGAGCGTCAACCTGAGAAGGGTTGTAGGCGTACCGGTGTAAGTCCTACAATTCTTCAAAGGGTAGCGCATCAATGAGCAGTACAATGTGCTTGGTGTGTGATCTTGTACATATGTTCATATTGTATATACTGAATTGATATCATCTGTCACCTATCTGTTGGTAATTCTGTTTGTGTCCGGACGACTTCCACTTGGATCATCAACCTGAGAAGGAATGTAGGCGTACTGCTGTAAGTCCTACGGTTCTTCAAGGGTAGTTTGTCGTGTCAGAATCCACAACATTTGATGTGTTGATAGTACATATGTTTGTGTTAAATAGTTGTGTGAGTTCCAATTGATGTAATTGTTGGTTAATCGTGTTTGTGTCTGGACATTCCACAACTTACAATCGTCAACCTGTGAAGGTTTGTAGGCGTACTGGTGTAAGTCCTGCAATTCTTCAAGGGTATTCCATCAAGACATGAAATGCGAGTTTGTGTGTACTGTTTGTATATACGTGTGGTGTGTCATATCAATTGGTGTTATTTGAATTCATTGTGTTTACTCGTTGTTTTCGTACCTTGTTGTTATTGCGTAATTTTGTTAAAATTTTCGTCGTGATTACTTCCGAAGTTGTGTCCACTCTTCTACATCCGTGAATGAATTGACTGATGTTACAGACAGCAGATGGGTCGTATACGCCGGGGAGGGTATTGCTGAGAACGAAATGCACACGGAGATA